TTTGGCCAGCCCCTGATTTGTCCCAGGGGGAAGCTCGGGCCCAGAAGGACAAAGCCTGTGCCCAGGTCATGAGAAGCATACGCAGCAGGAGTTAGCCCTGGATCCAGGCCAGACAGGCTTACACCGGACTCCCCGAGCCTCCAGAGACTTCCAGCTTTGCAGCAGAGCCCAGGCCTCCACCCCATTGCTCTTCCCGTTTCCTCATAAGCCCCCTCGAGCCTGCATTAGGGAACTCATCCTACCCTCTGACCTTCCTGCTGCATACCGGCTGGAGAGTGGCTTTTTACCCTGCTCCCTCTGTCCCCTGCCTGTCCAGTTCTCCTGGTATACTGGACCCCACTGAGCAGCTCCGGCCTTTACCCATCTCCAGCAGGCCTGTACCACCCTAGTGCATCCACCCCCACCTCCAGGGTGTTCCAGGCCAGACCTTGGCTGTTTCTCCCTTTGGCTGCTTTCCCAGCCCTCCAGTGTGTGTATCTCCACCCCAGCCCACCCTTCTTTCAGTACGTTGGGCTTCTGCTGTGGACACAGCAGTCCCTCAAAAAAATGTCAGCACCAACTCCCACAAGAGGCAGGCCTCATTTGCAAGATGATCTGTGCACTCTCCCCGCGGTTAATTTCCAGGAGAAAGGCCTCCAGCGTTCCCTTGGGCCCTTGCCCACCGCTGCCCCTCCAGCCCTGCTCCTCTACTCCTCCCAGAGCTTGGAGCAGCAGCCACTGGCCTGGGCCTGGAGGGTTGGGCCGGCCCAGCCGGGAGGAGGCTGGGCTCCGTTGGCCAGGCTCCTCCTCAGAGACTGGCCCCAGTGGGACCTACTTGATCTCCCTCCCTTGCTTGCTTGCTCTGGACACACCCCAAGCTGGCTCGAGCCCCTCCACCCCACCCACTTCATTCCCGCCACCAGAGGCTGAGGTCACTGGTTCACCTGGCCCGGGTGGGGCTGTCATCAGCACCTGCCAGTTGGGGGAGGAGGTGAGGTTCCCCCGGGGGCTGTTGTCTTAGCCACTGAGTAACTAGGGAACTTGACTGTGCTGGAACTGGTTCCCGGGCCAGGCCGGAACCTGTGGCGGCTGCAGCCCCCGTGGCCTTGGGGGTTCAGGGTGGTGGGAAGCTGAGCCTGACGGCCCCGGGCTGGGTGGGGGTGGAGGGACACGGGTTTGTCCAGTCCATGGGCTCCAGGGCCCAGGGGAAGCATGCTTCTCAGCTCTGTAGATCCCTTTCCCCAAAGTGAGATGGATGTGAGCCCTCTGGGGGGTCTTCCCCACCTTGGGGCACCACACTCACCAGCCACTTCCCTCCTCAGGTCTCCCTCAATGCTTGGTTCTGGTCCACAGTCTTCCACACCAGGGACACCGACGTCACAGAGGTGAGCGCCCTCCCACTCCCGTTTCTGCTGGAGACAGTCCCCAGCGGAGCCAGGAGCGGTGGGGCAGAGCTGAGGAGCCAGGAGCGGTGGGGCAGAGCTGGCTTAGTTCTCTCTTAGTTCTCGTGCTGACTCGATTCACGGAGCACTTGCTCTGTGCTGGGCGTTTTAAACCTATTCGTGCACTTGAGCCTCACTTGACCCCTGTGAGGCAGGTGTGATTATTGGCTCTTCTTAACCGATGCGGCAGCTGAGCCTTGGACGGGGTGAAATCACTTGCCCAGCATCATGCAGCCAGTGAAGGGGTGCAGTCCAGACTTGAGCCCTCAGCTGCTGAGCTCCAGACCACGCTCTGAACTCTGCGCATGCTCTTACGTTCTGGAGTCTTGGCAGGCACCCTCTACCAATACCTCTAAAGCCTCGCTGCTGAGCACACGTTTTTCTTTAAATTGTATGTGAATACAAGGGTCAGTCTATTGAATTCAGGCATGAGACAGCGATAGACAAAAGGAGCACGAGACATGTCCCCACCAGCCATAGGCCTAGGACTCCCACATTAGACTCTGGCTGGGCCTCTGCCACCCCTCCCTGCCCCCATCCCTAGTGGGTCCCCTCTGGAGCCTGCCCTGCATGAAGCCTTGTCCACCACCTGTTGCCCACACACTGGTCCTTCATCCAGCTCTCCTTGTCCTCAGAAAATGGACTACTTCTGTGCCTCCACTGTCATTCTACACTCAGTCTATCTGTGCTGTGTCAGGTGAGCCCGCCTTGGCTGCTGGGGGAGCAAAATCAGACCCTGGGGGCAGAAAGGGGTCGCCAGTCTCTCCGCTGGGGGTGCTGTCCCAGGGCTTTCATCTCGCATGTGCATACGCTCCAGACAGCTCTGGAGAGGGACTCTGTGGTGGGACCAGGGGCCCTGGCTCTTTCCAAGGAGGTTGGCAAAGTCCACAGGAATTGGAGGCCTGCCCTGCTAGCCTGTTTTGATGGGGGAGGGGGCAGTGGCTCCCCCACGCTGCTGCTGCTGCGGGACGGGTCACCCTGCATCTGAGCGGCTCTGGGTGGCGGGGCAGGACCGTGGGGCTGCAGCGCCCGGCCGTGGCCAGTGCCTTCCGGGCCCTCCTTCTGCTAATGCTGACGGCGCACGTCTCCTACCTGAGCCTCGTCCGCTTCGACTATGGCTACAACCTGGCGGCCAATGTGGCGATCGGTGAGGTGGGACAGGGTCTCTGGGGGGGCTGGACCATCTGCAGAGCTGCTGGCTTGGGGTGGAGGTGGGCATTGGTGCTGTTCCCAGAGAAGGAGCTTCTAGAAAGACCCTTAGGGGGAGGGAAGGGAAAAGAATTGGGGGTGGGAGAGGGGGGAGGTTGGGAGGAGCCCCTGAGGGGGGCCCTGGGGTCACAGAGCATGGGGGCTAGGAGAGACTTTGGGAGGAGAGAAGGAGGTCGGGGAATGAGCCTCTCCCCACCCCCACCCGCCCCCAGGCCTGGTGAACGCGGCGTGGTGGCTGACCTGGTGCCTGCGGAATCGGCAGCGGCTGCCCCACGTGCACAAGTGCATCGTGGTGGTCCTGCTGCTGCAGGGGCTGTCCCTGCTCGAGCTGCTAGACTTCCCACCTCTCTTCTGGGTCCTGGATGCCCACGCCATCTGGCACGTCAGCACCATCCCTGTCCACGTCCTCTTCTTCAGGTGGGTGCTCCTCCCTGCCCGTCCTTGCCTGCCTCTTAGAGGCCTCTGTGCGCTGGTCACCCACTGCCCGCTCGCCTGCAACACCCCACCCTGCCCCCAGGGGACGCTCTCAGAGCTGTGCCTCAGTGGGCTCCTCCCTTGGCCCACAGCTTTCTGGAAGATGACAGCCTCTACCTGCTGAAAGAATCAGAGGCCAAGTTCAAACTGGACTGAAGGCCCTGGAAGCGGGTCTGCCCTCTTGGGGACTCTGTCCCTCCCTGCTGGCTCCCCTTCTTCCCCCCGTCCCCGCCCCAATCCTTGAGATGCCTTTTTTTCCTTTTAGCATCTTGTACTTGGACATGGAGGGTGTGGGACCAGAATCATGTAACCTGCCCAGCCCCTTGCTCACCCCCACATGGCCCTCACAGTTTCTGGCGTCAGTTCAGACCTGGCCTCATAACATCTGGGGCAGGAAAATGGGCAACCCCTCTGCTCCCTGGAGCTGAACAGGGCTAGAACTGTGTTCTTAGCTCCACCGAGAGGAGGGCTGCCTCTCCCTCGCCATCATCTTCCTCCTCCCATCCCCTCACTGCCTGGGTGGTTCCCAGAGCCATCTGTCTAGCTGGGAGACCAGGTACCACAGGCCTTTGGGGATATAGTGGGGTCCCCTTCTGTTACCCCCGTGCCCTCCTCCGGGGCACCACTAGGTGGCACTAGATGCTTGCTCTTTGCCCAGGTTTCAAGGCAGGTCTCATTCTCCCCATGGGATCTAGAGGGACCAAGCTGTTGGGATCGGGGAGCAGCCTCACCCAGACTGTTGTCCCAGTCAGACCCCCAGAGGCCTTACCACACTCCCTCTTCGGGGCCAGGACCCCAGAGAACCCAGGACAGGAATCCCTCTGGCCCCTGTGCTGCTCTTCTGGTTGGGAGCTCGCACGTGAGTGCGTAAGGGAGACCAAGTGTGTAGGTGACGGGCTGGTGGGCACGGGCCTGGGTGTGTGGGATGCCGGGTGGGGCAGTGTGTGTGAGCATTGGCCTTGTGCAGTGTGGAAAGCGGGGGTGTATGTGAGTGGTTTTGAAGTGTGGTGTTGGGGGGCAGGCGGGTTAGTGTGGGTTAGGGGAACGTGTAGAGACTGAGTGGAGGTGCAGGGGAGTGTGAATGCCACACAGTGGGCGGGGGGGAATCAAATCACGTCCACAGCCATTTACTGAGCACCAACCCTATACACAGCCCCAGGCCAGGCAGAAAGCCAGGGTGTCCCCAAGATCTGGCAGGGGTAAGGGTGTCCAGGCTGCATGTGTGTATATGTGTTCCTTTCTTTTGCCGCCCTCTTTACGAACCTCGTTGGGCTTCTGCACAACCCAAGATCTCCCCCAGAATCAGCCCCTTGGGAGGCAGAGGGAGGAAGAAAACTGGGGATCCTCCTTGCCTGGACGTGGTTGGCCAGCCCCTACCCCAGTGTCCTGCCTGCTAAGCCCCTTTGCCACTGCCTGACCCAGGGGAGGGAGGGGGCAATCTGAGGGAGGAGGGGAGAAGGCTTTGGCTGGGTCTGGTTTCTGGTCTTCCCAGAGGCAGGCAGGGGCCGTGCTGTACCTACACCCTGGTAAAGGTGACCCCTGCCAGTTGCCAGCAGCCATAGCACATTCCTGCTCCACAAGGACAGAATATGGAGCTGCAGAAACTTTCCATCCAAAGGCAGTGTCTGTGACTGGAGCAAGGAGTCGGGATTCTCTGCCCTCTTGCCTCTCCCTGGGGGTAAGGGCGCTGAGCTAGGACTCCAACCTCAGGGACTTGGGTGACCTGTAACTTCTTTTGATACTAAGAACTATTTTAAGGTAGGAGGGTGGCAAGGGACATTCTTAATAAACCAATTCTCAGACTCACCTACCCTTTTCCGGCTCATTTGTGTAAGTAGGGTGGGCTGGAGGGAAGAAGACAGAGCTGGCTGGAGGCAACAGGCAGATGGCGTCTCTACCTAGGCCCATGGGAGTGGGTATGGCAAGGACCAGATTCAGGGCAACAGCAGATCTGGATGGAGCTCCCGTCCCGCTCGTAGTGGGGGCTGGGAGAGGGAGCTGGTGCCTGTTCTTCCCCTCTGACTTCCCTTGGCCTTTGTGCCTGGGTTGTAGCACCACCGCCTGCAAGTTCTCCTAATTATCCCCCTTCACCTCCCCTTCTGGGCTCCGCTAAGCTCCTCTATTATTTATTTGTTCCTAACCTTTCTGAGCTTCACCTGCAAACAGGATAACAGGACCTGCTGCCGAGTGTGAGGACTGAATGGACCTAGCAGGTGCCTGGCACACAGCAGATGCTGAATGAGTTTCCTCTGACCCTGGCTTTCCTTAGTTTGGGAAGAATGAGTGTACGGAAACCTTCCTTCATGGAAGCTTCTGGGAAAAAGGCCAGGGTTGATGCCTCCCATATGCCCACAACACAAGAGAGAGCTCTGGGCCCTTGTAGCTTCCCAGGAGAGCCGCAGACTGCACTTAACACCAACCAGCACGGACTTATTTCTTTATTAGGTGCCACCTCAGATAACAGGGAATCTAGGTGGGTGAGGGCCGCCGACACTGTATGCACTGGGGCCTCACACCCCCACCTTCTTCTGGGCCCAGGCGAAGAAGATGCCCTTGACATCATCTACGCCTGTCCGAAGGTGGGAAGGCATGATGTAGGTACGCAGATCCCTCACCTCATAGCCGCTACGCACCAGGGCCTCCCTCACCTCCTCCTCACGCACTGGCACCACTGCCAGCCTGGCCTCCCCAGCCAGGTACCATGACTCCTCCAGGGCCCCGATGAGGAGGAGGTGCCCCCCAGGCCTCAGCAGTGTAGTGATGTGGTCCAGGGCCCGCTGGAAGCTGGCAAGGTCCGGACTCACAGCCTCTAGGCAGAAGGCGGAGACCAGGGCATCGGCAGGCAGGGGCGCCAGGCTCCCAGCGCCCAGGGGCTGGGGCTGGTGCACGTCGATGGGCAGGATCCGCTTCACCCTGGCTCTCAGCTGGCACTCCTTCTCTTGGCAGGATTCACTGTTTGACTCAGAAGGCAGAGTCAGGACCAGGGCTCTGGACTGCCCACACCCCATTCTCTGTTACCTCCCACCAGCCACTCCGTGGAAAACCCCCTGCCCAACCCGTACCCGCCAGCCCTTACCCCTTGCCCTCGATGAGACAGACATGCTGGCTGTACACGCTCCAGTCGAAGGCCCCAGGCTCGTCTCGCAGCCAGAGCCCCAGCTCCTGGCGGTTCACCTCCAAGAAATCTGTCATCGTGATGTCCTCAAAGTGGGCGCAGGCGCTGAGCAGCTGGTAGATAGTGGGGCCTGAACCAATGTCAATGAGGGTGCGTCCAGACACCTCACCTGGGTGGGGCAGAGGAAGCAGGTCCTGGTGCTAGGCCTGTGCCTGCAGCCCCCAGCCTCAGTCACGGCCTCCCTTACCTGGGGCTTCTTCCCCCTCTCTCTGTTCCTTCTCCCCCTGGAAGTGTGTCTCTGTCTGGAAGAAGCATTAGCTCTGGAGTTAGACTAACCAGGGTCTGAGTCTGGCTCTAACGCCCGCTGACTTTTACCTTGGGAAATGAACCCAACCTCTCTGTGACTCAGGCTCCGCAACTATACACTCTAGTCACCTATCAGTGAGGATTAAGTGGGGGAACTCTCAGGTGCCTGGCAGCTTCTCTCCTCCGCCTTTGCCCCTCATTCTGCATTCCCCCCCTCACTTCTCAATTCTGAGTGCTCTCCCTCCCGACCCCCCCCTCACGTGAGGTATGCTTGCTCCGCTTCTGTTTTCACCCCTTAACTACCTATCCCCATCTGGCTGTCGCGTGCGCGCCCCTTTGGCTCCCTGATGACTCTTTGTTCTGTTTCCCAGCGCTCACCGGTGGCGAAGGTCTGCGCCAAGCAGCGCAGCTTCCAAGGCCCGACGCCATCGGGGCCGCTCAGGTCCCCCCGAGGGGGCGCGTAGTTGTTGCAGAGGTAGGCGCGGGGCTCGAAGCGCTGGTAGGCCAAGGCGACTGCCGCCCGGCCCGGGTCTAAGTCGGGGGCCGCGCCCGCAGCGTGACTCAGGTCTGTCCCGCTCATGCTGCTGCCGCGGCCGCCCTTGTCCCCCGCTCGCCTTTATCTGCGGCCGGACCCCCGCCCCGACCTCTCCGCTGCGGGGGCGGCGGCTGAGCGATGAGCCGCCCGGGGCCACGCGCGCTGCGTTTCCCTTACCCCATCCATCTCCTTTAGTGTCGGAGCAGCAGACACACGGGGGGAGCATCCGTCCCCGCCCCTGCTCCACGGTTGCTCCCCTCTGCCCTCCACCCTTTGCCTCACCTGCCCTGGTCCAAGGCCAGCTCCCGCGCCCTGCCCCTCAGCTTCGTGCCCCCAGACTCCTTAGACCCCTGCGTCCACCAGCCCCAGCTCCTCCCTGTAGCTCTTCTCCATTCACCCCTTTTGCCTGGCATCCCTTCCCTTCTTTTTTGCCAGGGTTCAAGCTAGCCCTTTCCCCCATTCCCAGCTCCCAGCACCAGGGACATCTCTGGGACACCCTGTCCAACAGCCACCCCCCCTTCCTTAGTGAGGTCACCCCAACTCCCCTTCTCCGCCTCTCCCCTAGGCCTCTTTCGTCCCTGTCCTCCAGCGTTCCCCCCGCCCCCCGCCCCGACTCCAGAAAGGACAGTCCGTTCTGGCCTCCGCCACGGTCGCCCCGGGGCCCCAGAGCGGAGCTCCGGCCCCGCCCGTCAGATGGCAGCGACGATAGGGCAGGCAAGCAGGGATAAAGCACTTAGCGGACGGAACTGCCCGGGCCTCCCCTGCGGGCCCTGCAGGCTCCCAGCCGCGTATCTGGGGGCTGCCGAGGGCGGAAGGCTCGGGACGTTCTGTCACGTCCGGGGCGAGGGACCCAGGTGAGGACGGAAGGGCGCGGGGTGCATTCTCCAGGCTGCCAGGGGTACCAGGGGACGCGATCCGAGCCTTTGGGTGCCAAGGGATTAGATGTGTCGCCTGGTCTGGAGTCTGACCCCTCTCATCTCCCAGCCCACACTCCAGCCCCCTCTGGAGGAGCAGGGCCAGGCCAGCCCTGCAGATTGCTTGGCACTCCAGGTACCAGGCTGTTGACATGCCAGGGTCCCCCTTCCTATCCTCCCAAATGGGAAGTGGATTCTGCGGGGCCATCTCCGTGGTCTTCCTGGAGTGGAACCCTCCTCTGGCTAAGTCTAGTGCCTCTCAGCCCTGGGTGGGCTACCAGCCCCTGGCCTCCTCTGTGCCACACCCTTACCCTCACCTTGTCCCAAAGGGAAAGTGTCTTCTTGTTGGACCAGGCAGCCAGGTTGGGACATGAGTCACCACAACAGCTGCAGGGGTCACACACAGGAACCTGACCACCCCCTACACACCCTACCCCCAAGAACCCACCTTGGGCTCCCAGGGCAGGGAGGGTAGAACACCTGACCCCAGCCAAGGATTGATTCTGTCTGGATTCAGAACCAAGAGAGAGGTCAGCCTTGGGGTCACTGACCCCATCCACACCCTGAGGCACAGCTGAGGACAGTCCCGGTGCCAGCCCCTTCCATATTCTTCATGAGGTCATTTAAACAAACCCTGGATGCCAACTGGCTTCCTGGGCACTGCCCAGTGCCAGGGGACTCACACAGAGGCCAGGACTGCAGAGCAGAGTCAGGGGGACTGGACAGACAGCCACCCTGTTTATAGCTCTGTCCCTGCAACCCTCCCCGCCCCCCCGCCCAGGAGCATGGGGTGACCCACTAACTCTGCCATATTTAGCTCAGATGCAGGGCCTGTTCCCAGAAGTGAGCATGGGGGGGACACCAACGGGTGGGCCCCTCAACCACCAGGAAAGAGACGAAACTCTGGCATGTGATTGAGCATTTATTGCAGCGCTAACAGAGGGTGCTGGGAGCTCCACCCTGCCTCGGCCCTCTTCACGTCCCCCTCCCTCCGCTCTTCTCCAGGCCTCCTTCCCTGAGCATTCCTTATGCTTTTTCTTCATCCTTCTCTGAAGCTGGATTCCGGACTGGGGTCACTCCTCTCAGGGACCTCTTACCCTCACCAGCATTTTCTGCCTTTCCTCCTGGGGTACTCAGCTGTGCTGGCCCCCAGCACTCCACCCTTAGTGCCCACCGTCTTTGCTCCCTCCCTGTGGGAACTCAGGAGACCCAGGCATCCTGGCCTCTGGCTTCCACCTCCCCTAGCCCCCAATTCTGGGCAAACTACAAAGCTTCCATGGCCAGCAGCTCCCCTCCGTGGTCCTAGCCAGGAAGGGCCCAGCCCAGGGCAGGCACTGTGGAGCCCAAGTCACCGTCCCTCTCAGCCTCTCTGTGCTTCCTGGGACGTGGAGCGAGACAGGGTGCGACACAGGGCGCCGGGCTTGCTGACAGGCACCACAGGGGGCAGCTGCTTGGTGATCTCGGCCATGTCCTGGCGGTCCACACACTGGCCACCCAGGGCTGCTTCCAGTGCCAGCAGCTCCTGCAGCTGGATGGGGGTGTCCTCGTGCTCCTCCTTGGTGGAGCCCACCTTGGCAGGGGTGAAGATGGGCAGCGGCAGCATCCGCTGGTAGGGCAGCTGGTACTCCTGCAGCCCGCGGCCCAGGATGCCCATCCGCATCACCAGCCAGGGGGAACGCTGCACCAGCGCCTGGCACCGCCCCTGCCGGTGGTAGGTCTCCCGCCGCTGGGCATCCTCCTCATGCAGGGAGCAACTGGGAAGGAGAGGGGAAGGGGACACTGAACTCCTGTGACCTGTTGCCCTCCAGTCACACGCTGAGGACCTGGGGTGCCAGGACCTGGGGTGCTGGAGGGGTGACTCCACTTTGCTCCCCCCAGCGGGAACTCTCCTGGCCCCCACCCCCCGAAACTTCTCCTGGCCTCTGCGCTCTGGCTTCATAAGGCTCAGGAAGGGTGCTCTAGGGGAGGGGAGGAGGGACCCCCAGCTGGCCAGCACTCACCCCTCCTCAGGCCGTGTGGACAGCGTCAGATCCTTCCACTCAGCCCAGAAGGCCTCTCGGCGCTCACAGTTCTGCTCGGACACCTGGCAGCTCAGCTCTGAAGTGGCCATGATGACCGCTCACTCCCTCTGGGCTCTGTTCCTCCCATGCCCTTTAAATAGCCCCATCCTCCCCCTCCTCCAGGGGCTATTTTCAGGCCCTCTGGCGTCAGATGCTACAAGCAGAGCCAAGACTCACTGCTGGGGGATTCCGGGCCCAGGGCGGGGCTTGGGGTACCTGGACTCTGGCTGCCCCCAGGTCAGAGGTCAGCTTCTGAAGAGCTCAAGGTGCTCCTGTGGGGGCGGGGGTCCTCAGCGTGACACCTCCAGGTGTCTCACACTCCTCAGACACCGTCTGGGACCAGGCACGTGCCCAGCCTCGTGCCACCTTGGCACTTGCCCTCTGCCCCACCCCTTCCCCTAACCCAGGGAGGACAGCGGCTTGTCTGTAAACAGAGCAGGAAAGAGCAGGAACCGAGGCCCCCTCTGGGCTCTGTACCAGGCCATCGTGTCCTTCCCCACTGCCTGGGCTCAAGGGCACATCCCCTGACTATCCCCTCAGCAAGCAGGGACAGTGCCGCCACGTCCTCGGGCATCCGCCCCTGAAGGCCTGGCCCCTGATCACCACCTCACCAGCAGGGGCAACAGAAGTTAATTCCACACGTGGGATCCTGGACACCAACCTTTGCCAGGTGTCTTCCTTTCCCGTCAGGCCAGTAGGGTGGGGGGAGCAGATGTGGGAGGTGGCCCCAGCTCTACCGCAACACCTCAGGTGGGGTGAGGTGGGAATCCAGGGGCTCCAGGGAGTGGCAGCCAGGTCTGGCTCTAGCCCCAAAGCAGCCATAAATGGGCTATGTGACCACGGGTCAGCTTCTACCCCTCTCTGGGCCTCACTTTGCCCCCTTTCTGTTCACAATGGCCGTACCAGAGGAGTTCTGGGTCCTGCCAGCTCCAGGGTGCCACTGGGCAGGACCTGGCTCTCATCCCCAGGGAGAAGGCCAGTAGGAGGGCTGCCAGGACAGCCCAGCACTGAGAGCAGCGGCGCGTGCTGCTGCAAGCTGGCACACAGGGTGGAGGGCATGGGGGAGGAAGAATAAGGGCGTCGCTGAGTGGACAAAGCAAAGGGCACTAAGAGAGGCAGGGACAGGAGCTGAGATGAGAACTTAGCGGTAAGGCCTGTGGGCACCACCTGGGGCAGAACTGCATCCTCTTGACTACTGAGCACTACACCTGATTCTTGGTATCTTTTAACCTTACAAAAGCTTTTATAAAGTAGGAAATGGAGGCTCAGAGAGGTAGATTTGCCCAGGGTCGCACACCTAGCCAGGACCAAGAGGAGACCCCGCCCCCAGCCCTGGCTCTAAGCAAGTCAGCTCCTCCAGAAGCCTGAAGGCAGGGAGGGGGGAGGGCAGGTTTTCTGGTGGCCCCAGTGTGATGGGGCAGAGACGGGAGGTTAAGTGGAGCCCAGAGGCCCAGATCCCGGAGGTGCATCAGTGACCTGGAAGGCCAGGCCCCACGTCCAGGCTCCCCCCGGACCCCAGCCTTGGGACCCCAGTGGCAACCAAGGCCTGCTGTGGGTACTGCCAGGTCTCTCCCTACCTCCCTCCTCCCAATCCTGGGCTGGAGACCTTAACCTGACCTTCCCTCACCGGAGACCCAGAGACCCCGCAGGGAGGCGGGGAATTTTTCTCTGACCAGTCATCTGCCCAGCTGAACCATTCAAGGAAGTTGGGGGTGGTTCCAGGAACTGGGTCTCCACTGACTCCATCCCAGCTCTGCGAGGCTCTGCGAGGGTGTGTCATGTGACGGCTGCAGCCTCCGCGCGGTGCTGCCCTTCTCTTCCCTCAAGAGGCCAGGCTGGAAGGACTGCTTTTTTTTTTTTTTTTTTTGAGTTCATGTCTTTAATTGGCTCAAATTACAAAGGTCCCCAACGAGGCCCTGGGCGGGGTGGGGGGGTGGGGAGGCAACCTGAAGAGAACCTGGGAGAGGCAGGCTCCCTGCCAGCACCCACCACTCCCACCTGCAACCTACACCCCAACAAGTGCAAGTGGAAAAAGGTCCCAGACCCTTTAAGTAATCCTAAAACACGGTGATGAGAGCAGGCGGAAGAAGGGGGTCCTGCGCCTTCACAATGGTGACAAGGCTGCCCTGACTTCTGTCCTGCCCAGGGTCCTCCCCAACCAAGTCCGAGGTTCCCATTCCAGACCCCAGCCTGGCCAGGTGGGGACAGCGGATCTCCTCTTCCAGGAGGCAGGGACGCCATGTAAACGTCGGCAGGATGGACCCCACTGGCCTCAGCGGCAGAGTCAGACGCTTGAGCTCTCGACCTGCCCACGGCCAGGGCTTCCAGGCACAGTGAAGCGCGTGGAGGGTGGCGGCTTGGGGCCGAGGGGCTGCTGTGGGAGGAAGCCCCTTCCTCCCCACTGTTGGAGGCCAGGTCCTCTGTGGGCAGCGGGAAGCCCAACCGACCCCTCCTCTGGCTCTGGAGGCCGTGGCGACAGGACCCTGGCCCGCAGGGTGATGAGGGGGCACGCTCATGCCCGTGCACCCAGCTCTCCGACGCGCTGCCGCAGATGAAAGGCAAATTCAAACATGGTGGCTGCGAGGCTCTGGTGGATGAGGTACCGGGGCAGGCGGCCCTGGGGGAGGCAAGAAGTTCCAGGAAGGCTTGCCCTGGGCAGGGGCTCCCCCTCAACAACTGGCTCCAGCAGGGGCTGCTCTGGGCCAGAACACAGGTGCAGCTCTGGAATGCAGCCTAGGCTGCCCTCCCCCCTCCCCCCTCCCCCCTGGCAGGAAGAACATGCCGTGCCCCAGGTTTGGCGTGAGTCACACAGAAAGACCTGGGAGGGGCTGGGCTGGCAGCCAGCCACCCTTCCTGAGGTCCTCGGGAGTCAGAGGTAAAAAGGGGAGGCACAAGCCCGCCGGCAACTCAGGGTGAGAAGACCACCTGGACCCTGCCCCCAGTTTTAGAGTAAGAAAGGAGGCGGAGAGTAGGGGAGGCTCTGAGCAGAGCAGGGAGCGCCCAAGGTCACACAGCAGAGGCCCCTCCGCTCCACAGAACCTGCCTCGCAGCCCCGGCGCGCCCACCTTCAGATCTGCATTAAGGATCCAGATGAAGGTGCAGACTCCAGGGTTACTGGCTGACTTGAGCACAATGAAGCCCCCAGGACCATTCTCCCCCCTGAGGAGAGAGGCACCAGTGGGGGACCTTGGAGCCAGGCAGAACCCCTGACTCCCCCCCCACCGCTCCATTCTTGGCCCACCCTGGACTGGGGTGGGAGAGCGAAGGGAGCTGCTGGTCCAGCAACCCCCTCGCTGCCTGAGCAGGGCCCAGGACGGGTGTCCCAGAGGCCACAGCATACAGCACTCCACCCCCACCTGCCATGTGACGCTCGAATCCTCCTACAACCGCCTGCCGATGTTTGCATACCCCCAGTGGCAGGGAAGCCCCAGCTCACCGCCTTCCCAGCCCTCATCTAGTCGGTCCAGGGATTCTAGGTCTGCTCTAGTCCTGAGGAGGTGGGCTGGGCGCGCACTTCTCACCAGGGCCCAGCTCTGGGAGCGGTGCAGTGCCACTGGTCTCCAGGAGGGGGCGCCTTCTCAGGCGGCGTCAGGCCTGAGCTGTATGGTGCACATCCCATCTCCATTTAATTCGCCTACAGCTCCCCTGACTCCATATAAGGAAGCTGGCACCCAGAGGGGAAATGAGCTTGCCCATCACCCAGCAAGTCTGCGGTGGTGGCGAGACCAGAGCCCCAAGCTGACACTCAAAGAGCAGTGCTCTCTGAGGAACCCCAGGACAGAAGGGGAAGAGTGGGGTATCTGGGAGGAGGTCACCTGCAGGGCTAGGATTAGACAGCAGGAGAATTGGAGGAGGCCCTGGAACAGGCAGCAGAGAGTAAGGCCTCTCCTCTGGAGGTACTTCCAAGCGCTGCAGGAGGAAGGCAAGGCCGCGGGGCAGGCAGAGGGGATGAAAGGGGCCCGAGTCTCCTCAGGCAGGAAGTTGATGGTTCAGAACACAGAGCCTCCTGCTCAGGTCCCCCAGACCAGTGCAACCTCATGGCTCCCAGCCCCCTTCCCCGGGCTGGTCCCTATTCATCCCCATTCACAGTCTATCCTGGAGCTGCCCTCCAGCCTGGTGGTGGGTCCAGCCTCCAGCAGGTAAGCAGGATTAGGGGCAGCGGGACTGGGGACAGGAAGGCAGCCTCGGCAGGAGAAAGTGCCCAACTGTACACACCGACCCTGCCCTGTCCCCACAGCTACCAGGGGAGGGGCCGGCGCAGACGACCCCAGGCAAGGCTCAGCTCACCTGACATATTTGTGTGTCGGGGGCTTGGCGCAGTGGGTGGTGGCGATGCCCGATGACAGGTATCGGTCTCTGCGCCGCTCAATGCGTCGGACGTTCACGAAGTCCCTGGAGGGGTAGGGTTAGGTCAGGGAGTGCCGAGAAAGTCCAAGGAAGGCGGACTGGCTGAGAGGAGGGAGCATGGGGGCCACTCACCTGGGGGAGACCACACCACCCGCGGCCCCCGAAGACACATCGTAGGAGATGAGGGTGTTGTCTTCTACTCGCTGCAGGATCTGCGGGCGTCAGGGCAGACATGAGGTGTATCCACCCCAGGAAAACCCCAGGGAAGGGTCCCAGCATCTCAGGAAAGCCCCAGGCCAGCCTGCTCTCCGCTCAGGTCCCTTAATTAAGAGCCATTCCCATTCATGGGCACTGGCTGGGCCAGGCGCTTTGAGCTTTTCCTCTTTCCATCTTCCCCACCCTCTCCAGGAGGCACTAGTACCACCATCCCCATTTTACAGATGGGGAAGCTGAGGCACAGGGCAGTCCAATGACATGACCTGGGTCCCCTGGGGGTCACTGGCCATGCTGGGGTACAACTGCGCCCTCATCTGCCATGTCGCTCTGCCTCTGCCCTGAGGGGTGACCAGGCCTGGCCCCCTGGCTCGGCTCACCTGGCAGGCTGTCACCGTCTTGTTCCACAGCACCATCCTCTCGGGCTGCAGGATCACCTCCTGGTACACCAGCTCCGCGGGGCAGGGCAGGAAGGTCTGGAGCAGGGCGGGCAGAGGGCTGGGTGGTGCCAGATGTACTCGGGCACACCAGCCCTTCCCTCCTGGTTGGGAGAAACCTGCCGGAGGGTCCCCCTACCCCCGGGCTCTTTCCTCGAGTCCCAGGCAGAGCGGGAGGCGCCAGAACACCTCTTCCCTCACTCACCTTCAGGATGAAGGTCTTGCCATGAAAGGGAACCTCGATGGTGTACACAGTGTCCCCATATTCCTGTGGCAGGGACAGAAGGGTGGCAGGGAGGTGAGCGTAGGGCAGAGGGGAGCCTGGGGGGCAGGAATGGGTGACAGGCAGGGCAGGTTTTTAACAGCTCAGGGTAGAAAACTCCAGGAGTTTTGGGATATCTGAGCAGCCATTAAAGAACAGTGGTTCTGGGACCTCCCTGGTGGCACAGCGATTAAGAATCCGCCTGCCAATGCAGGGGACACGGGTTTGATCCCTGGTCCAGGAAGATCCCACATGCTGCAGAGCAACTAAGCCTGCGAGCCACAACTACTGAGCCCACACGTCACAACTATTGAAGCCCACATGCCCACACGCCTAGGGCCCATGCTCCACAACAAGAGAAGCCACCGCAATGAGAAGCCCATGCACTGCAACGAAGAGTAGCCCCCGCTCGCCGCAACTAGAGAGCCTGCGCGAAGTTATCTACAAAGACCCAACGCAGCCAAAAAATAAAAAAGTGGTTCTGCCTCCTTGCCTCCTTCACTGTTGGTGGGAATGTAAATTGGTGCAGCCACTATGGAAAACAGTATGGAGATTCCTCAGAAAACTAAAAGTAGAATTACCATACGATCCAGCAATCCCACTCCTGGGAATATACCTGGACAAAACTATAATTCAAAAAGAATTCAAAAAGTCCCTATGTTCATAGCAGCACTGTTCACAATAGTCAAGACATGGAAACAACCTAAATGTCCATCAACAGATGAATGGATATAGAAGATGTGGTACATATATACAATGGAATACTACTCGGCCATAAAAAAGAACGAAATAATGCCATTTGCAGCGACATGGATGCAACTAGAGATTATCATATAAGTGAAGTAAGTCAGAAAGAGAAAGACAAATACCATATGATATCACTTATACGTGGAATCTAAAATATGGCACAGATGAACCTATCTACAAAACAGAAACAGACTCACAGACATAGAGAACAGACTTGTGGTTGCCAAGGGGGGGAGGGGGAGGGAGAGGGATGGACGGGGAGTTTGGGGTTGGTAGATGCAAACTATTACATTTAGAATGGATAAACACCAAGGTCCTACTGTATAGCACAGGGAGCTATCTCCAATATCCTGAGATAAACCATAATGGAAAAGAATATAAAAAAAGAATGTGCATATGTGTATAACTGAGTCACCCTGCTGTACAGCAGAGATTAACACAACATTGTAAATCAACTACACTTCAATAAAAAAAAACAACAGTCGTTCCGACAAATGTTCTGCAATGAGGAGAGAAAGGCTTTTGATATCAAGTTTAAAGGCAGGAGCACAGCTGCGGCTGCAACCACGAAGGACCGTGTCTCCAGGCCGACAAGGGCTGCCAGAGGAACTGGCCAGAGAAAAGGATGACGATGTTTTCCCTCTGTTTTCCAAGCTCTCTGCCATCTTTTTAGATAATACTGTTTTGACCCTGAAACAAAACACCAGACACAGGGCCAAAGCCTGGCTTCCCCTTCAAAGCTGGAGCCGAGGGAGCAGAGCAGCGGCGGGGGGGGTGGGGGGGGGGGAAGCAGGGAGAGGGGCGGTGGGAATGTCCAATGCAGCCCAACCAAGTGGCTGACCCCAGGGCTCAGCCCCCTCTCCCGGGGTTAGGAATATGGTTCCAACCCGTGCAATCTTTGGGCTTATTTCTCAGGCCTCAGAAAAGGGAGGGAAAACTCCCCACAGGAAAACCCTCAGAATCAGGTGGGAGACAGGTTTCTTACATTATTCTTCTCAAACTTCCAGTTCTCCTCCTGGGCCAAGATCTGGTCCACCACCGCCATAGCCTCCTTCCCCTGGAGGATGTACTCCCGTTCCTGGCCAGGGATGGGAGTCAGGAAGGGGTCAGCCTGGGGTCTGCACCCCACCTGCTCTTTCTGCACCGGGCTGGGTGGGAAGCCTGACTCAGCCAGATGTCCAGATGCCGGGTCTGGGCTGGTCTCCCGGGCCCTGCGGGCTTCCTGGGACCAGCTGCCGTGGCTGCGGTTGCTACCCCCAGGCCCCAGGCAGGAAGCAGACCAGTGGGCCTGACCGACAGTGGGGCACACACCCAGATGGACACGGACTGGCATTCAGGCTGCCTAAGGTCTACCCTCTGCTGGGAAGCCCCTGCCCACCTGGCTGAGCGCACCACTGGCCCCTCCTCCAGGGTGCCCACCCGGGGCGGGGTAGGCAGCCAGATACCTGGGCAGAGAAGCCTTTCTTCCCAACAACTTCTTCATCTGATTCATTGTCAGACCCTGCAGAAAACAAGCAGAGGACAATGGGAAGAGGCGGAGAGAGCGGGGCGGCGGGGGTGGGGGGGGGGGGCCAGGGTACAAGGGCAATGGTGTAGGGGTATGAAAGCGGGTGTGGCAGAGGGCTGCTCGCTTTCCCAGGGGAGCTGACACGAACAGAAAGAACAGACCCAGCCAACGCCCCTCCCCGAAGGCAGTTCTCCCACCCACCAGCCCGCACCTGCAAAGGATTCTGGGGGTGAATAGAACTGGCCCTCGGACAGGGCGCCGGAGAAGAGCAAGGGTCCTCGGGCGACAGCAGCCTGGGCAGCGAGATACCCTGGGGGAGCAGATGTGGGCAGCCATCGCCCCAGACCAAGGACAGTCAGCCTGGGGTCCCCCAGCCCAGGCTCACCCTAAGGCTCCTAGAGGCAGAGCTGGCAAGAGAGCTCAGAACTGGCTCTCAGGCCCGAAACTCTCCTCTCCTGGGTGGGGCCGACCCTCACTGCACCCCCTCACCCCCCAGCACTCACATCGCTCCTCCTCAGCCTCCTGGGGTAGGACTTTGAAGTCAAGGAACCAGGTCTCCAACCAGGCGAGGACGAAGGAGACGATAGGAAGCAAGTAGCCGAAGGCCCCTTTGCTGAGCAGCTGTGGAGGGAGGGGGCTGGGCTCCACGGCAGGGAGTCACCTCAAACCCAGAGCCCCACCCTGGGGCTACCAACTCTGGCCTACACCCCACTCCTGGTACCAGCTGTGGGGACCCTCTGGGGCACACGCCTTTGAGATGGATGGATAAATGGGTTCTGCAGCAGGATAAACTCAGGTTAGGCTAGAGGAGGAACTTTCCGTCCTTGGGGTTGCAGCAGGGCGAGTGCGGAAAGCCAGTGGAGATGACCCCTTAGAAATCTCAAAGGACAGGATTCCCCCTCACCCCAACCCCGACAACAGGGTCAGACACCCAAACTCAGAGGAGCGGCCCCTTCTTGGGAGAAGCCCACCCCTCAGGCCAGATGCCCACCAGACCAGCCAGACCCTGAGCCACTGACCTCAGAGAGGATGACCTTGACAATGAGGAATGCACTGGACACCAGCGTGGTGACCTGCCCAGGGGAGGGAAGGAGGAAGAGAGCGAACACAGAGGCTGGGGAGTGAGGCCTCCTCCATCCCATCTCTTGCGCCAGCCCCGCCAGGGCCTGAGAGCTGCCAGGAAAGTGGCATCTTACCGCAATCACCCACCAGTGCCGGAGCCGCAGCACAGCATAGCCCAGGAGCAGTCCGGAGAAGCGGAAGGCGGCCAGGACCTGGTGTGGGGGGCCGGGGAACCATCACGGGCAAGCCAATGGCCCTACCGCTGCTGAAGGCTGGCCTCCCCCTCCAGTCCTGCTGCCTGAGGCTCCCTCCACGTGGTGCGCACACCCCAGGAGAGGATGGCCGAGGCCAAGTCAGCGTTTCTTTGGGGACGATCTGGATGTGACCTTCTTGGATAGGGGTCTCTCGTCTTCCCCTCCCACTTGGGGCTCTCTGAAGGTGGGGCCTCATGTAGGAACCCGTTTGAATACTGAGGGCTCCCTGAAGATAGGAGCAAGTCTCCCTGATCAGATTAGGATGTGTGTTGCGAGAAGAGAATCCAGCGAAAAGAGTCACGCTCCTATGCCCTCTGTCCCCAGCATCTCCAAGGCCACTCACCAAGATGTCAAAGAAGGAAGTTTTAAAGCTGTAGTGGATGATCTCCTGCTCCAGGTTCTTCTGGATGCCTGTGTTGGTCTGAAGAGAGAGATGTGGACAGCTCTGCAAGCGGAACCAAGTCCCCAGGGCTGCCCCTTGTTCTCCCAGGGGGGAGGGGGTGGGAGGGGGAGAGAGTAGAACCAGGAGGAGAGGCTGCAAATGCTCAGCTACCACCCAAGAAGCCCCTGAGGCAGCAGGGGAGCCCAGCCAGGGACCTGAGACCCCAGCACTATTACTGTTTCTCTAAGGATCCAGGCAGCCCAGACAGGCGGGGCTAAGCTGAGGCTCAGACACTCGCGGGCACACTGCCCAGGAGGAGGCAGGCCTGGAGGGCCTCGGGGCTGTGCAGGAGAGGCGATGAGCCCTACGCAGGTAGGCAGCACTGGCACACAGGGTGCTGGGAGCATGCCTCTCACATAATTTCATCTCCCTCCCACCACTGCGGTGCTCTATCTTCCCAGCCAAGCATCCATCTGGGGTGATGGGGGCCAGGGGTGGGCAGTGGTGTCAGACGGAGCCCCAGGTGGCAAATCAATTGATTAGGTTTGTGCTTAATGGGCAAAATCCATCATGCTGCTAGAGGGGATGGCACTCAGAGCGAGCAGACTGGTCCTTGCCCCTGCCCTCGCCACCCACACATTTTCAATGGGACCCCTGAGACCCTGGCTGGGGAGTGAGGGGTCTGGATGGACACTGAGAGCTAGAGCAGCCTGAGGCTTCAGGAGGAATGGGGTGGCAGGCTTACGCCTCTGCAGGTGGGGCGCCAGCCCCCGGAGAAGGGGGGCACAAGGGGACTCTCAGGAATGGGGCCTGGGAGCCCTGAAGGGGAAGAGCCTTCACACCTGGACCAGGGCTTCTGATCTCCGGCAGATGATATGAACTGGGGCAGGGGGGCTTGAGGGGGCTTGTTAAAGATACAGATGTTCAGACACTGGGTCTGAATCTCAGGCTGAGCTGAGCATCTAGAATGGTTATAAAACTCCCAGGTGATTCTGATGCTCGGGGCAGGAGCCAGCAATGTGGACAGCCCCTCACTGAACTTCGAGCCCCGGCACATCCCCACTGAATGCCTCAACCTCAAGACCGCTCTGAGCCCCATGGAGTCTGACGCCTCGCTGCCCCTGGTCTGACACCGCACCCCACCCCAGCTTGGTCCACCTCTTCCTCCTGACTGCTCCCTCTTGGGCTCTCCCACCCCTAACAGCCCCTGTCCCTCAAGCTCTGTCTTCCACCATTTTTCTCTTTACAGAGAACTCTGCCTCTGCCTGGGTACCCGCCTGCCCACTGCATGAGGACCCAGGACAGTGGAGTCCCAGCCCCTGCTTTGCCAGGGGCTACAAGACTTTGGCACAGGTCTTATAACCCGGCCAGGGTCGTTGCATCCACTGGGCAACACACAGTCTGTTAGAAAATTTAAAAAATATATGCTCCAAAATATGAAAATAAGATGACAGAACTGAAAATTAATAAAATTTCAATTAAGTGTCTACTGAGTGAAACATTATGTTGATTCTATGAACTATTAAATCCAGCACTCTGAAATTTTTCATCACATTTGAAAACAATTTGGAGGTTAGATTTGCGCACTTTGCAAGAATTCCCAAGTCTGCATGATGACTGCTAAGCTATTACAGCCAATACAGCCAGAGAGTTTCAAAAGTAAAATTATCAAAAAATTTTTTCAGCTCTTTTCTGGCAAGTAAATATATATACTGAATGAAGGATGTGGGTGAATTTTAGTGCCTGCTTTGAGATGCTGCACGGGACCTTCAAAAGCAAGAATGTCTAAGACCTCGGAAGCTCTTCAAGCGGCCCTGAACCTTGCTGGGCCTCAGCTCTCTCATCGGTAAGATGGTCCCAAAGGCCCCGTGGCTGTGGCTCCTCGCTGAAGGTGCCAGCTCATCCCTGTGCACAAAGGACAGTCACCCTCAGAGCCCTGCCTTGCTTTCCAGCTCAACACGCCTGGAATCAAACTTACCCTCTTCACCCCTAAACCAGTCCCTTCTCCAAATTCATTTCTAGCACCAGTCATTCTCCTGACACCTGAGCTTGCGATCTGGAGGAAGGGCACCTGCCATGCAGAACTCTGACCCACTTTGCACAAGGAGAACAGGGGGTCTCAAAGAGGCTGAATCCCTTGCTGAGGTCACACAGTTACTACAGAGGAGAAGCTGGCACGGGACCAAGCCTGGGATGCCCTGTTCCACAGCTCCTGCCTCTATATCAGGTCTTGCTCTGCCCTGTTAGCACCCGGGGATTAGGTCCCACCACCAGCTGGCCAAGCACTGCACAGGGGGAGAAGAGGGCAGACCCTGCCCCGACAGGCAGCTCCGCCTCCAGACTGCTAGGTGGCATCTCACCAAACCCAAGAGGCCAAACTGGGGGGCACTGGAAGAATGCCCCAAGTGGGGAAGGAGAGCTGGGTGCCACGGGGAACTGGGAGTTTTTACTGGTTGCTCCCCACTGTACCCTCTGCTTTTAGCACAGTATCTGGGACACAGCAGGGGCTCAAAAATGTTTGTTGAATGAATTAATTAATTAATTGAGCCAGAAAGTAATGTAGAGCAGAAAGAAGACAAAGCTTTCAACAGCTCAGAGTCCTCTGGGCTCCCTCCTCAAGAGTGTCCGCTAGGGGGCAGTATGGAGCAGAGGTCAAGACTGCAAGCTCTGGAGCCAGAGAGACTGGGTTCAAACCCTGCCGCCTTCACATACTTGCTGAGAGACTTCAGATAAACGACTCAGCCTCTCTGAGTTTCTTTCTCTGGAAGATGAGAACAGCTATTCTTATCATCTCATTCTTCCTTTTACCTGGAAATCAACAGTCCCCCCCCGGCCCCCTGCCGACGGAGGCAACCCTCCCATACCGCAGATGGAATAACTGAGGCCCAGGCAACCCCCACAGTGCGGCCTGTGCCTCCAGCCTTGCCCCCACTCACGTTCAGCTCAATGATCCAGAGCAGGGAGATGAAAAGCAGGTCGAAGGTGACAAAGAGGCAGAAGGTGCGGCGGACGTCGGAGATGGACCGGCGCTTCTCGCGAGGCGGCGGGAGGAAACGCGAGGAGAGGCTCTGGCTGTGGGACAGCGACGAGCCGAGGGAGGCCACGGCTGGCAGGCTGCGCTCCAGGTCACGGGCCGGCTCCCCAGACAGCTTGCTCATCCTGGCGGCCCCCACCTCCAGGCAGAGAGGGCCGGGCCTCAGCGGCACGGCTGCGGGAAGACAGGGCGGCTGGCTCAGGTCCTGCATGTCAGGGTCCTGGAGGTCCTGGTCACCTCCCTCATCCCTTCCCACGCAGCCCCCGGGGACCCCGTTTGCTCCCAAACACATCTGCCCCTCAGCCCCAGCCTAGCCCGGTGGCCCAGGGCCCTCTGCCTAATTTCCCACTGTGGCCGGCCGTTCAGGCTGGAGGGGTCTGAGTGTCCCTCTCACTCTGTCGCGCTTCTACACCCGCCATCCCCGGCAAAGTCTTGCAGCCCCACGGTCAGCCCTGGAGGCCTCTGGGATCCTCCCCGATGTCTGGGGGCACAGCCTGCTCCTGCCAAGCGCTGCCCTGTGGTTCAGCCTCTGGGCCTGCCCCCACCCCCAGGAGAAGTCAGTCCCAAGCTCTGTTCTTTGTTTTCCAAGCACAAAGCCACATTCCCTCCCAGCAGCCAGCCCTACCCTCCCACCCCCTAATCCATGGCGACTGGGAGGGACTTCCTAGAGCAGAGTGCTCTGCGCTGGGGGCGGGATGGCGGGATGACATCTTCATCTCCAGCTATGTCCCCATCACTGCCACCTCAGGCCCACCCAGCACGGCTCTCTCCCAGCGCTCCAACTTGCTCCTAATGGGCGCGTCTCCAGGCTTCCTCTCCCCACCCCGCAGCAACCACCTCTCCACACAACAGCCAGAGAAAGCTTTTCAGAACATGAATCAGATCCTGCCGTTCCCCACTTACAGCCCTTCAAGGGCGCCCCCCGGGTCTGAGGATAACAGCACCCTCCTCATGATGCCCTCGCAGGGCGTGGCTCTGCCTGGCTCCTCGCACCACTCCTCGCACAAGGCACGGGCCCCGTCTCACTATGACGGCCACCCGGGCCTTCTAGGTCCCTACACGTGGCAGCCCGGTCCTGCCTCGGGGGCCTTAGACCTAGCTCTCCGGGCTGGGTGGAATGTTCTCCCCAGTCCTTTCAACAGGCAGCTCCAAAGCCCTCTCCTCAGAGCCTCCCACCCTCCTGTCCCCAGTCCCAGTTAATTTACGGGGCTTTACCTTCTTCAGTGAACTCTCACCATCTGAAACCATCTTACTGATTGTTCTGCAAACGCCACGGTGCAGGCCTTTATCTGACTTGGTCCCTGCTGTCTCCTAGGACCTAGCACAATGCTGAATAAATGGATGACCCAGAGGGTCTCCTGGCCCTCAGCTCCATGCTACATGGTAGAGAGGACCAGGGCAAACCCAGCCACTACCCAAGGCTCGCCCAGAGCTCCAGTGCCCACAGAACACTGCGCCCATGGCCGTGTTTCATGCCCACACAGGGCAGGATGGTTCCTCCTATTCTTCAGATAAGACAGCCAAGGTTCCGAAAGGGTGAATGGACTTACCCATCCCTTACCTGCCTGTGCAATCACGAGGCTGAAATCCTCATGAACCCTAGAGACAAAAGGGGCCCTGGAGCACCCCCTCCCTGCCGTGCAGGCCCCAGGCCTAAGGTCTCTGCTCTACCAGTTTGCTGGCGGGGGCCCTCAGCCCCAGGCCTAAGGTCTCTGCTCTACCAGCTTGCTGGCAGGGGCCCTCAGAGGCCCTGTCCCCTGCGCGGGGGGAGGAAAGGTTTAGTCTAGAGACAGAGAAGAGCTGATGCAGTGTAGTGGGGCCTGAGTTTCTGGGAGCCCATCAAGGGTCTCCCTGAGTGTTCTCACACGCCAGCACCAGGGGGCAGGTTTGGGGGCCAGTGGAAGGGGAGCCCTAGATCTTTGTGCTTGATCCTGGGAAGGCAAGATCTAACCAGTCTCCCCTCCAGATTCACCGTCCCCTCCATACGTTTGCTATGTCTGCTACCTTCCACGCCCCACTCCATCTGCTAAGTCCAAAACAAGCCCCCCGTATGTGGCCAGCAGGGGGTTCCGAGCAAGCCGGATCGCCCATCCCTCTGCCTCTGTGCCAGTGGACACAGAGCTGACTGTTCTCAGCAGAGGCACCAGCCCAAGGCCATCCCCCCACTACCACACTCTTGGGATCCCTGTGACAAGCTCACCTGGAGGGTATTGAAGGAAGGCTGGGCCCAGCTCTGGAAGGCGGCAGTCAGAGGAGGGGATGTGACAGGCCGCAGGCAATGGGACCCCCCAACGTCCATCAGCTGGATCTGGTGCCAGACCGCACACTCAGCGCATCCCTCACTGAGACAGGGCCGCAGCCCCAGGGCAGGTGACATTCGCTTGTCTCTAATAGCCCTCTTGTCTCCTGCCAGACCTGTCTCCATCTCTCCTCCCCCTTTCTGTCTCTCTCACAAGCTACCTCTCTACCTTTCTTTAGAAGTGTCTCTGTACCCTCTCCCACGTCCATCTTTATTTCGCCCCCTCTCTGGTTCTTCCTCTCCATCTCTCTCCCATCTGTGAGTCTCTCTCCACCCCCATCGGATCAGTCTCTCTCATGTTTCCCTCTCTCTCCTCTTTTCTACCTGCCTTCCCCCTCTCCCTCTTCCCTATCTCATGGCAGGGCGCTGTGACTTCCCCACTCCCAGTCTGCTCCAGGGTCTGTCTGTCTTTCCCCCTGGCTTTCCCCTTCCTTTCTGGGGACAGGACTTGGGTGGCAACAGCTTGGGTGTGAGACACACTCAGAGTGGCAATAGCACTGACACTCACACACCTAGATATCCCTGTGGAAGCGAGAGACAGACAGGGGCTGAGAGCAGAGGTGTTGGGGGAGCCCGGGTGAGCTGTGGACAAAGGGATGTGAGGGAGCCAACCCCGGGAGCTCTGAAGCAGGGGTGGGGGCGCCTGGCCAAGAGGCAGAGAGAGAAGGGTTCTACATTACCCTCCCCCAGGAAAGAAACTCCGGGTCCAAATAAGCAAGAGCTGGTAGGGTAGAATGGGCAGTGGTCAGGAGTTAAGACCTGAGCCCCAGTTTGAGGGCAGCCACTAACCCTGAATAACTTTGGGCAAGTCCTTCTTAGCAAACCTCCGTTTCTCTATGTGGGAAAAAGGTCCATGGTTTAACTTAAAACGAAACAGCAACAAGAAAACCTTACTTAGAATCTCAATATACGGGAATTCCCTGGTGGTCCAGTGGTTAGGACTCTGTGCTTTCACTGCCGAGGGCCTGGGTTCACTCCCTGGGTGCAGCCAAAAAAAAGAACCTCAACATAGAAAACAGATAAAAGCAGGACTGTGTGGGTCCTGCCACAAGACGCGGCCACAGAGGGCCCCACCGGTCAGCCTCTCCTCAGACTCCATCCATGGTCACCTCTGAGGCGCCTCCTTGGGTGTGGTTTGAAAATAACTCATTCAGACGACTTCAAAAGGCTTTTGAGCTCCCTCCGACCACCTGCCAGTCTAAGAGGTGAAAGCCACCTTGGCCTGGAACTGCCCTGACCCTGGAGGATGGAAGGTGGCAGCTGCCGGCAGAGCAGCTTGGCCTGGCCTCTGCCCACCGCCCCCGCCAGGGCTGCCGCGCAGCCCCCTGGGAGCAGCGCCTCCTGCCAAGCCCACCACCTGCTGTCACCGGCCCTTCCCAAGCGCCTTCAGAGGCGTCGGGAGTGGAGCAGCACGTGTGGCATGAAGGAGTCCGCCTGGGCTGCCTGCAGACTTGACCCTTGATGTGTTTGCGGAAGCTGAGCGCCTGAGGCTTGGGGAGGGTGGCGGGGAGGGAGGGGAAACTGGAGGTTTTATCATCCTGGGTCTGAAGGGAAAGAGGCGTGGGGAGGAGTGGGCAAGGCAGGTCTCTGGGCCCAGGGAAAGCTCAGCGGGCAAAGGGGAGGGGTGGGCCCTCACGCCCCCGCCCAGGCCTTCTCTTACTCGCCCCAGGAAACACTAGCCCGAGCGCAGCAGGAGCTTTGGGTGGGGCCCGACTCAGCGGACAGCAGCAGGCAGCTGTACTGTGCAAAGAGGACTGGACTCTGCGGCCAGGGCTCAAGTCTCAGTCTGCCCTCACCAGCCGTGCGAGCCGGGGCAAAGGGAACCGTTCTGAGACTCGGTTTCTTCAGCTGCATTAAGTAAAGGGGACGCTAATATACTTAATGCCATAGAACTGTCCACCTGAAAATGGCTGAAACGGTAAATGTGACGCTGTGTATGCTTTACCATGATAACAAAGGCAGCAATGATTGCTACCGCCTCAGGCTGGCATTTACGTACAGGTCGGGAGAAGGATGGCACGTGCTTGGATGGAACCAGCAACTGGCAAGGCCGTCCAGGTGAGAGGGAGATTAAGTGGGGTGCGGGAGGGGGTGGGGCTTACACCACAGTAGTAAAGTCACCCCCAAAGGCCTGAGTTCAAATGTGAGCTCCACAGTTCACCCGCCTGGTGACCCAGAGCAAGCTGTCCAAGCCTTCAGCCCAGGTTCCCTCACCTTGTGCACTAAGGGCCCAGCTACTGCAGCTCCAGGCAAATGTGTCTCCCCAGGGAGGGGCTGCGGCGGGAGGTGGGGGGCTGCCCTGGCTCCCGGCACAGGCTCTGGAGCGTGGGGCCTGGGACTGATCTCTGATACTACCCCTTCCCACTGGTGCCTGCTCCCCCCACCCCCGCCTCCCCCAGGGTCCAATCTCCACGGTTCTTAGGTGGCAGGGGCACAGACTGGGTCCTTCCCAGGCCTCAGTCACACCCGAGGCCAGAAGCTCCGGCCGGCGTTTCCTGGCCAAGGCAAGTCTGCAATGTGAGCGATGTCCCTCCCTCACTCAGCAAGCCTCCAAGGCTGCACCTGGAAACGGGGGAGACCTGTACTGAGCCTGGGCCACCTGGCGGATCACAGGAGACAGCGGTGCGTGGGGAGCGCGGCACCACAGAGTCAGCGTGCCATAGGCGTCAACCACGGCCACCAGGCCACCACGGCTCCCTCTGAGGTCCTCTCACCCTCTCCTCTGCCCAGCTTCCCACAGAGGGCTGGGCCGAGCCACTCAAGTTCTAGCTAGTGTTCCCTCCACCAGCTGCGCTCTGTGACCCCGAGGGGACGGAACAAGTCTCATCCACATCCAGAAATGATTCTCACTTCGGAGCAGTGCGGCTCCTCCAAACCCTCTCCCCAGGCTGAGGGGACAGGAGACATGGGCTCAAAACACATCCCCCATGCTGCACTGCTCAGGAAATGCTGGCACTAGCCACGGGGGCTTCCCTGACGGGTCCCTAACTCAGCACAAATCAGGAGGAATCGGTGAAGCCAAGAAAGGACTGGATGTCAAGCCAGGAGAAGATTCAAAGCCTGGATTCCCACCTTACTAGTCATTGAACCTCTCTGTGCCTCAGTTTTCTCCCTGTAAAATGGGGGTAACAGTAGTACCTACTTCTTGGAGGTATTATAAGGACTAAGCGACTTATTACACATAATGGCCCCGAACAGTCCCTGACGCAGAGCGATCGCTGCAGAACGGTGAGCTAACATGACACCCCTGCCTCTTTGGCGGAAACACGGCCTCGAGCTCTGACTGCCTCTGGGGGACGGCTTCAGGCCAGGGCTGGGGTTGCTCTGGACCAAGCCCCTGTTAATGCCCAGGTTAATGGAGAATCCACAGCGGGGCAGGAGGCAGAGGCTCTGCGTGCAGAAGAGGTCGGCCTTGGCCTGTGTTCTGCTGCTGGCCGGTCTGGGTGGAAGCTGGCTCGGGGACGGAGGACAGCAGACCGAACAGGCCTGCAGACCATCCACTAGAAACAAATCTGGGCTGGCAGTGGCCCACGCTGGCTCCCTGCAGACATCCTCTCCTTTACTCACTGCACCCGCTACCAGGAGCTATGGAGATGAGAAGACTGAAGCTCAGAGAGGCCTGCCTACAGCCCCCCAGCCTGGATGCAGCAGAGCTGACCCCAGGGACACGTGGGCTTCCCTCAGTGCTGGGCTGGGACCCGGTGAACCCAAACGTGGCTGCCTCCAGAGCCTGTGCTGGCTGGGGAGCGAGCTGTCAAAAGACCCCAAAGAGCTTAACAGCCATCCAGGCAGGGCCTGTGGAGAGCCCAGTGCCCTCCGCTCCACATCTGAACGATCAACAAATCCTTCAAAATCCAGCCAGTAGCTGCCACTGCTCACCACTACCATCACCTGCCCGAGCCACATCTCTCACCTGCTACAGCTTCCTGACCGCCTCCTGTCCTCGTCCCAAGTCTATTCTCAACGCAGCAGTCAGAGGGATCCCAGTAAAAGTCAGACCACACCTCCCAATGCCCCAAACCTCCAAGAGCTTCCAGCTGCCCCAGAGTAAAGGCCCAAGTCCCCACCCTGGCCTGTAAGCCTCCTCTTCCCCTGGCCTCCTCCCCTGGAACCCTCTGCTCCAGCCACACCAGTCCCTCACTGTTCCCTGGACACATCAAGCATGTTCCCAGCCCTGGACGCTTGTTCCTGCTGTCCTGTCTGTTCCTCCCCTAGGTCTCTGTGATGTCCCCTCCCTCCATTCTGGTCCCTTTGGAGAGGCCTTCCCTGGACACCCTGTTTAGCCCCAACCTCCACTCCCTTCCCGTGCTTTATTCGTCTTCCCAGCACACATCACCCCAGACATATTATATGTTTGCTGGGCTGTTTCCTGCCTGCCTTCTTCCACTGGAACAGGGACTCCCATGCTCTGCTCACTGCCGCGTGCCCAGTTCCCAGAACAGTACCAGGCTCACCTGGTAAATATTCACGAAATGCGCTGAACGACTACTTCCACCCTCTCCTGCAGCATCACATGCACAGGTGTACGTTCACACCCAGCCCTGGAGGAGCGGCCCCACCTGTCCAGCCTCTCCTGGAGCTGGACTCCACCCTCTCTTGGTGTTTCATGCTGCCCAGAGCCCCGGCACCTCCACTACCAACGGGCAAGGGGGACTGGTTTCCTGGGCACCCTCAGGCAGGGCGGCAGCTCCCCTCTTCCCTGAGCCCCAACTCACAGAGAGAAGACCGGGTGAGGAGCTAAATCCCTCAGATAGCAAAAGGGTCCCCGGCACTCTTCTCTTGCTATGGGGTTGATACCCCTCCTCCAATACTGTCCAGATCACTGGCTGCTCCCAGGACACACCATGGCCAGCTGGTCTCCCTTCTGTGCCTCCAGTGCCTCTGTTTCCCCATTTTGGAATGACCTCCGGCCCCTGGGGGGAGCTCCAACTCTTCAGAGACCAGTTCACAAGGCACCTCCTGGGCAAACCTCACCCTCAGCCTCAGGATTCCCCAAGCCCAGGTCTCGGGACTCTGCCTCAGCACTTCCTTCCCAACACGCTAGACCTGAGCCTCAAAGTCATCTCTCCTTAAGCCCCTGAGGCCCAGCCACAGTGTCTGGCCATACATGGCACCTATCTAGTAGGTTCACTGGCCTGTGGATCTGTAATGCCTACCCTGGAACAAGGGAAAGGGTGTGGGTTTGGGGGTTGGTCAGCAGACCTGGAGTTGAAAGCCCAAGGCCGTTCTTTATTAGGCTGTGTGCCCGTGACCGAATCACTGAGTCTCTCACCTGTAAAATGGGGATGGTAGAGTGCTCACTTCACAGAACTATTGAAAGGATTAGAAATAACACCTGCAAAGTGCCTGTGTTTAAATAACAGTAGCTATTACTAATATCAGGGGCCACAGTGTTAGAGGCAGGGCCCTGGGCCGGGCATGTGTAGCATGGCACTCTGCCCAAACTGAGGGTCCATCAGTACTGCTAGGTGGTAGGATGGGCCCTGACCTCAGGGAGCTGCTCGCCCAGGATGGTACACATTAGGCTCTCCTGTAGTTCAGGGCTCAGTGGCCCGTGCCATCAGCCTCGACAAAGTTGGCTTACTGGCACCTACTCTGCCCCACCCAGAGGGCTTGGGAAGTTCCCCGGAGAGGTAGGAATTTAAGGAGAGGAGGACACGGCAGCAGTGACAAATAAGATATCAAAGCCCAAGCCAGGCTCTGTTTCTCCCTTCCTTTTGGGGAAGTGGAGAGGGTACAGTGAAGCCAAGAAACCATACTGATCACTGTACACTCCCTCCCCCTCCCCAGCCCGGAAGGCTCTGACGGTACAGTTTACTGGAAAATCCTAACAAACTGAGATCTACTCAGCCCTTCAGTTCCCTCTACATGCCAGGCCCTGTTAATGTTGGAGATGCCCCCTGCTCTGTGATTCTCTGACCCCTGGCCTACTCAAGGGCTGGTGAGTCAGGCCCCACCCGACCCCTTGGTACTGTTGGATACAAATGGGGGCTAATGAGGTCAAGTTCTCAAGGTCAGTCTGGAAACAGCCTGTCATCTTCCAGGGCGATCTCAGTCCTATCAGCCTACTTGAGGGAAGGGCTCTGCAGGGGTGGGGGTGATTCAGCAGACTCCTCCCAGCACCAGCTCTGACCAGACAAAAGCCAGGATCAGCCTCTTCCCAGGCAGGAAAAGTTCAGAGGGACACACAACGGCCGGATGGGATGCCTTCCTTGTCGGTTATCCCGCTGATGTGGCAGCTGCCCCTTTGAGGGCTGGGAGTCCGAGGCAGTTTCTGGGAGACAGCTGTGGACCTGGAGTCAGAGGATGGTTCCTTAAGTTCCTGCTGAGACACCTCCCAAGTCTCAGCTTCCTTGTCTGTAAAATGGGGCCAACCATCTCTACCGTTCAGTGCAATAAGTGTGAGCTGTCAAACGTACAGGATTTTTGGTCTCACCCACGCCCCCCTCCTCCAAACAAGTCTAGGTGTGGGAGAGCTCAGTTTACCGCAGCACGAGAACTGAGAGCGTACAGGGTGCCAGACGCTGTGCTGCTCCCTGGGGATATTCAGGGGCTCCGGGTCTGCTGAGGGAGGCTGACAGATAAATGTACCGTGCCATGCTGTGATCAGCACTTCCAGGGAGGAACGAACAAAGGACTGTGGGCTCCCAGAGAAGGGAGCATCTGACCCAGGCTAGAGTGGGTGAGGTCAGGAAAGCCACAGGGAGGAGAAGCCATTTGCCTCGGGCCTCCACATCTACCAGCTGGACGCAAGGAAGATGGGCATTCCAGGCACTAACAAAAGCCCAGATTCAGGTTTAAAGCACAGGCCCAGCCCACAGGAGTGCATGCTGACCTTACCCCAGGGACCTGTCCCCAAACACGGGTACCAGGCCTCCAGACCTCCCCAGGGCATGGTCCCTGCAGGGCACACTTCATGGCCAGGTGAGGGAAAGAATCCCCAGCCTTGGCAGCGGAGACTGCCTCTGCCCTCCTGCCCACCTCAGCCCCCTCCCCTGCAAGCGCTCTCTATTCAGAGGACCCAGCTCTCCATTCTCTGAGCCCACCCTGGTCTCTACCTCCTTCTGGTAAACTCATTTTCTCGCTCTAAGGCCCCTCACTAATTGTCAGCTCCTCTGGAAAGCCATCCTTGGCCTTTTTCTTGCTTGGGTTCCCAGAATTCTGTGTACATTTCTCTAGAATTAATGCTTGCCATGTAACATTTATTCATTTCCAGATTCATTTCTTGAGCAGAAATGACAAAGAGTCATTGAGAAATGACAAAGAGTCATATTCATTGACAGAGTCAGGCTTTGGGGCTCTGGGACAGAATGAGAAGTAAGCCACGTCAACTGTCCTCAAGCACTTTATAAAATTAAAAGTTATAGGCTTCCCTGGTGGCGCAGTGGTTGAGAGTCCGCCTGCCGATGCAGGGGACACGGGTTCATGCCCTGGTCCGGGAAGATCCCACATGCCGCGGAGCGGCTAGGTCCGTGAGCCATGGCCGCCGAGCCTGCGCGTCCGGAGCCTGTGCTCCGCAACGGGAGAGGCCACAACAGTGAGAGGCTCGCGTACCGCAAAAAAAAAAAAAAAAAAAAGTTATACCCATTGGGGCTTCCCTGGTGGCACAGTGGTTAAAACTCCACACTCCCAAGGCAGGGGGCCGGAGTTCGATCCCTGGTCAGGAAACTAGATCCCACATGCATGCTGCACCTAGGAGTTCGCATGCTGCAACTAAGGAACCCACCTCCCACAACTAAGACGGGGCCCAACCAAATAAAATAAATAAAATATTTTAAAAAGTTATACCCACTGTTCTATATTATTCTTATGTAAAGAGTAATAGCTGGGCTTCCGTGGTGGCGCAGTGGTTGAGAGTCCGCCTGCCGATGCAGGGGACGCGGGTTCGCGCCCTGGTCCGGGAAGATCCCACATGCCGTGGAGCGGCTGGGCCCGTGAGCCGTGGCCACTGAGCCTGCGCGTCCGGAGCCTGTGCTCCACAACGGGAGAGGCCACAACAGTGAGGGGCCCGCATACCGCAAAAAAAAAAAAAAAGAGTAATAGCTAACATTTATTGAGCACTCATGTGCTCACTGTTTTAAGCCCTAAACATACACTATTTCATTTAATACTCACAATAACTGTCAGGTAGGCACATGACTATCTCCATTTGACAAATGAGGAAACCGAGGCAGTGACTTCATCAAGATCACAAAACAGTATGAGAACGCAGGAAGTCTGATTCAGGAGTCTGTATTGTCAATCATCATGCTATTACGGACAGGTGCTGCAGGGACTCGGGGCAATATTTAGCCTTGGGGGTGGTGGGGGGAAGGTAGTCCAGAGGTGATGCTGCCCGAGCAGAGCACTGAAGGACAAGCAGAAGGTAGCCCAGCAGGTAAGAGGAGAAAGGGCTTTCAGGCAACGGGGCTGGTGCATGCAAAGGCATGGAGACACAAAAGGTGTGGACAAGCGCATCCTGCAATGCCATATTATTGGACCTTAGGGTACACACAGGGTAGGGAAGAGGTAAGGTCATTGAGAGCTCTGTAAATTGTGCTAAAGATTCAGTCTTTCCCATAGGCAATGGGAAACCATCAAAGGGTTTTAAGCAAGGAAGTGACATTATGAGATGTGTTTCTAAAGGATCATAAGAGGCACTTCCTTGTGGCGCAGTGGTTGAGAATTCGCCTGCCAATGCAGGGGACACGGGTTTGATCCCTGGTCCGGGAAGATCCCACATACCGCGGAGGAGCTGAGCCGGTGCACCACAGCTACTAGGCCTGCGCTCTAGAGCCTGTGCACCTAGAGCCGGTGCTCTGCAACAAGAGAAGCCACGGCAATGCGAAGCCCTCGTACCGCAACGAAGAGTAGCCCTCACTCACCGCAACTAGAGAAGGCCCGCGTGCAGCAACGAAGACCCAATGCAGCCATAAATTAATTAATTAATTAATTAAAAAAAAATAAAAGGATCACAAGAGTTACAGTTTGGAGGCTGGGTTGCAGGCAGCCATGACTGGAAGTTGCTGGGAAGTCACTGCAGTCATCCTGGTGAGAAACACATCAACAAGGGTGGTAACAAAAGAGGGGCACTGGGCCAAGTGTGAAGCATGTTCAGGTCACCTCTTAGATATGGGAATTGAGAAGGAAGAGGAAGTATAATTCTCAGGTTTCTGGCTGGGATGAGGTGGTAGAGAAAGAATGAAGCTGCAGGGGAGAAGGCAGCAGTTCAAGTTCAGACGAAGTGAGTGGCAGCTGGAGTGGAGCTGTACAACTGGTAGCTGGATGGCCAAGTCTGAGGCTCCAGGGCGGGGCACTCCGCTGAAGATGTACATCTGGGCGCGTTTCGGGTATTTAGGTGGTGTAAAGCTGAAGCCATGAGAGTTGACGAGACCACGCAAATTCAGTGTACAGAGTAAGGGACTGGGCGAGAGGAGAATGTGAAACGGTATTTCTACCGTCAGAGAAGTAGGAAGAAAATAAGGGGATGCTGACGCGGAGGAAGCCAAAAAAGGCGGAGAGAGGCACGTATCAACTACTTCAATTACGAGTTAGTATGCACCTCTAAGAACTCAAGAAAGATACTAAAGGGCCCTTCTGATGTCAATTAGGATGTCATTCACTGCCATTTCCAAAGGAAGTTGAGGGAGACCGGATGACAGACGCAGACCTACAGTAACTTGTAGATATATTCCTCCTCATTCTCAGGCCCTGACCCCTCCCCATATCCAACTCCTGTCCTTTAATACCCTGATACCGCCCCCTCGCTTCTCCGCTCACAAAGAAGAGATAGGCTTTGGAGGCCGATCCGGGACGCCCTTCCCGGGCTCTCTCGAGTGGGCGGGGCCGCGGACGGTCGACGCCCGAGACCCTCGAACCCGGCGCGGGGTGGAGCAAGGCCAAGCAGAGGAAGGGGGCGGAACCTGGGGCGCAGGGGGTGTGGGAAGGGTCGGACGGAACTATGAACGGACACCGGCTAGAGAGGCGGGATCTGCTGGCAAGACGTAGCCCTCGTACCACCACCCGGTCCCACTGACCTCTCGCGGACCCACCTGCTCCATGTCAGCCACGGCCCCAGTTCTTCTTAGCCCCAGCCGCAGCCGCTCTCCGCGGCCCCAGCAGCGCCTCGGAGAGGAAGGGGATCTCCCGGCGGCGCCACTTCCGCCACTGAGTCCGCCCCCGAGAGCGAACGTGCGTAGGACTGCAGCCCCGCCCCCAAGCCCTCGGGCCCCACCCCCAAGGGGCGGAAGTGGGGGCTGCAGCTAAAGTTAGGCCTGAAAGGATATTCCTAACGGTAGGGGTGTTGGAAAGAAGCCCAGGGGCGTCATCCTTATTGGGCCACACAGGCCTGGCACTGTGGAGAAAAAGGGATCTTCCTGAGGGGAGGCCTGTGGGGCTGGGGGACAGGCCCTTTGGAGGAATCCAGTTACTCTTGAAGGACTCTTCCTTCCCCCTCTGCCTCTTTCAGCCATCCCCAGCAGGATCTAGAACTCCTGTGGTCCTTCCCAAGATGGCTCGGAGCTTGTCAGCAGTCAAGGCTCCAAACTAGAGGACTGGACACTAGGGTCGAGGACCTGACCCTTGGATGACCACCACAGGGTAACAGGGAAACCTGTTACCTCCTCCCTCTCCTTTCCCCCTGAAAGAGAAGTCTCAGCAGTTATTTACAAAGATTTATTACAGCATGGGAGCGGTTCAGTCCTGGAGTCAGGGAAGGAGGGAAGGGGGCAGAGCAGCTGGAGGACAAGGAGAGCCTGGCTCCCCCACCATGTGCCCCCCTAAGGACTTATACTAGGCGGCATTCCTGGCATCAAAGCACAAACAAGATGCAACAAAGCAGCCTCTGCCAGTCCATCTTCCAGGCACCCAGGCTGGGGAGCAGTTGATAAGGGGAAGATTTCCAAAATGTTGAGGCTGTGGAAAGGATGCCTGAATCCTGGGCCCTGGTAGAAGCCAGTGAGAGGGGTGGTGACTTGGAATTCCCCAGGGGATGGAGAAGGATCTGTGGGCACTTAAAGTTCTCAGTACCCTCTTTCCCCAGATCTTAGGGTCCTGCCCTGTGGGTTTCCTGTGCCCAGGGGAGAGGGTCTGGGGAGTAGACTTGTGAAGGATGAACCTTTGTCCCCCATTTACTGGATTTCCCAA